CTACTGCCAAGGACACTTTTACCATATGCCTGCGTAAGAGCGTAATTAATGGGGCACATAACCACCAGCCTCGATGGCCCACAGCACCATTAGTCTTGGCCGACAATCAGATACTGAGATTTGGAGTGGAGAGCGACAAAAAGTTCCAATAGGTCAGGTGTGGTAACGAGCCGAGCGACGGTGGATTGCCGTCTACCACCAAAGTAACCGGCGGTGGCCGGATTTGAACCTCTGACCTCCAAGGTGTTATTCAAACGCTTTAAAACACTCGACCATCACCGGTCATACATACACAAGTACTTGGTCCCACCTGTCTTCCGAGGCACTAGTGTGGAAAATGGTTTTGATCAGGGGAAGATAAAAACCGACTTGTGAATATGAATCTACTGAAGTCTGCAGTATTAGTGTTCATCTGAAAATAACCCTACAAAACTATTGCAGGTGGCAGTTTTAACCAATTGGTCGGACGGGATGGCCTATTATTCAACGATTGCATGGAGGTATTACCAATGAAATGAAACCGATCAGCTCAAATCAAATTAAAACGCTCGGAGAAGACAGAGATAAATTATCAAAGGATCTGATGTGGAAAAAAAATATTATCTGGTGGTTCAGCTAAAAAGCGGATGATGCACTACCAGTAACCAATCAACACAGTAGCGAATAATCGCAGCCTAGGATTTCGGTTATTACCATAAATAAATTTAATCAGGGGTTGTGTTGCCTGACTTGTAACCATCCTGTATCAAACACTGTGGTCAGCCTTAGAAGGAACACAAGCGTTGTCTACCTAAATTAACTAACCGGTTTAGAATACATTTGGTGAAATGATTCAGTTTGTCCAAAAGGCTCCATTTTTTAAATAAAAGCACAACTTAGGTTGGATGCCTAATCGGTCTATTGTCTTGTCATTCGTGACGTCGTTCACTCAAAATCTGACTTAAACTCTAGACAGGCGCTGAAGGGCTGACTGCTAACGAGACTTGCCTGTCCATAGACGATGAGTCAGTCCCTACACCTACATCCTTTCTACTTTGATAAAGACGGCCGCTTCTGGTTCTTCCGGGAACATATGAAATTCTTCCCCTCTCTGTAACATTGGCATCTGGCTTGGGTACGTCTTCTGCTCCTTTGGCTAACTGTCTTGTCCAGCTTAACTTTGTACAACCTGTTTCCCAAAAACGCAGGGCTTTCCGTTCTCTACATCGATGGGATCTATCTGTAACATCAAAAACTGATATTTCCCCCTTTCTTTCAGTGATAACAGGCCTCTTACTCCTTTCGTGCATAACATCACAGTAGGTTTTACGGATGATCTCATCGCATCGTATCTCTCTAAGATGTAAATGTTCCGTTCGCCTTCAGCAGGCTCAGGATTCTCTGAGTTTGTGTCGTTAACTTCCTCTTTCGTCGGGGCATTTGTTATACCAACCCTTTTGGTGTTTACTAACGCTATTCTCAGTGACCGGAGTATTCGTTGCGATAGATTGACCCGAACAATATCCATTCATTTCCCGCAGCACTCTCAGATGGTTTTCTCAGTATTTATTCATATCAAAACACGTCTAGCTTCATCCCTCAGTCAATAGCGGAGTATGGCAATCTGGTAATGATTCCACTGCGAAAATAGCTACATGAGGACTCCAAAATCTTGAAGTTTCTGCTTCCAAAAAATCCGTTTCTCTGACAAACGATCTTCACTTGTCATGCTCGGCGGTGCTGGAAGTGGTAATGTGCATGTTCTAAACATATCGTCAAACAGCCGTGGGGTTCATCAGGTTCCTCTGACACCATTTCGAGTAGCCACCCAATAACTCCCGTAAGGAGACTCTTATGGCTTTGAACCATTTTCCTCTTAGTTGCAGAAAACAGACAGTTCATATAGGATGCAAGAGTCATTGTCACCAATCGTCTCAACATAAACTAACTGATTCATGCTGCGTGGGAAATCCCTCCTCGTCTTATTAATCCGTTGTCCTATTGTCCGTGATGCCGTTTGCTTAGACCTTGACCTAAATTTTGGACAGGTACTGATGGGCACTGACGAGACTTGTCTGCATTTCGACGATGAGTCAGCCCTCAACCCACATGTTCACATCACCATCAATGTTCAACATGAAACAAGGAAGTAAATCTTATTGATTCTCAACAATTATATAATATACACTGGTGAAATGCTGCTGGCCACAGTGGAAGCGACAGGCATTTGTCTTTACGATCCGTCATTATGCGCTCAAAAACAGTTCGTGCAAGCAATGAAACTCCCTTGGTCCACTCTTTACCCCCAAATACAGTAGAGATTTGTTGATCAGAATAATGACACCAACGACACCTATTCACGGTTCGCAAACTTGGTCCGCATCTCTTTATTTTTGACACATCTCCCTGTCCTCAATTTTGTTTTGTTCACTTGACATTGTTCATATAAAATGTTCAACACTGACATGATTATGAATCACCACCTTTTATACTACATTTATTTTGTTGATTATTTGCACAATATTTTAAATTATTCGACATAATAGTTAGGCTTGCGTTAATTACCCCACACTGCGCGTGAATCTAGTCGGAAGAAAATACCGCATAGCCATAAAGACCTATTGTACTGTTAGGCACAAAGGAAAATCATGACCGAGGAATTGTGTGCAAAATCACAAAAGATCCCAGTAGTTCAGGTGATGAACGGGCCGACAGCGTAGTACTGTTCACCACAAGATTTAACTGGCGGTGGTGGGTTTTGAATCTCGTAGCTGAGGTCTGATAAGCTTCGACTTATGCCAGCCGAGTGAACAATCGATAAAAAACAAGCAAAATTGGTACCACATCTTTGTTTTTGGTGCACATTATGAACTTTTTAATTCAACAGCTCCGTTCATGTCGGTAGTAGACAGTAACTCATTTCCGGCCCGCGCGTTGCTACATCTGAACTATTGGGACCTTAGGTTGTTATCCACCCCCAAACGTCAGTGTCTCATTGCCGGCTATTCCTGGCAGGGCAGTAGACCTTTAAGACTATGAAATATATACCGCCTTTCACAGTAGTTCAATTCCGTTCAGACAATCAATAACCATGCACTAGATGCACTCGCGCGCGAGCGTATAATGATAAAGGCAGTGCTACCCAAATTTGCAGAATATTTCTTCATATTCCCCTCATTTCAAGAACCATCAACCCTTAAAACTGTTCAGCGATACAGATCAAAAACTCGACCGCAGGTTGCAACAAAGCTCAGAGGGAGAAGCATTTCCTGATAAAAACTATGAACTGGTTGCTGAAAATGAAAACCAAGCATTGGTTAGAAGCGTGGATTTAAGCACACTACTAGCCACGTTTCGCTACATGGCTTTCCTTTTTTGAAAGAGCAGATTACTCAGACTCGTGTGCTCAAAGGAGGGCGCCTAACACGCAGCAGGCAGGTAGTCTATTACTAATTTTCTCCAATCTTTTTGTCAATTCACCGATTAATCACCCTCGTCTTTAAACTGTTACTTGCCGTAATAAATAAAACTCACCCAAAATGTCATCTTACAAACGAAATAACTAACAAAGTCTGAAGTTTCTCATTCAATTCGTTACGTTGAATTGAATACAACCTACATAGGGTGGCTTACCCAGAGTCACAGATCTAGTTAAAGATAGGTAAAAATTTGAAGTCAGGGAGAAACACGGTCTTCGAGTTTCTCTTGTTCGCACGCCTTGACGGAGCGGAAACTCAGCCAGCCAAATATGGTGAACGAACCCTTTTTCTGGTCAACCACTAGCATGCATTCAGCTTTCCAGTGAAACTTGTGGTTGTGGACGATAACAGACGAATCGGATAAGGAAGTTTTTAGCAGTGTTATTATAATAATCTGATAAACACGATATCAAAACTTCTTCGAATTGTTTTGGAAGGACATCAAGACCACGTTGCGCACCGCAAATGAAGCAGTGCGTTGGGATAGTGGAATAGTGAACAATGTTAGTTCTCCACATTAAACCGCTTTTTGGTTTTGGTCTGCTTTCGCTGGATAGTTTTGTTTCCTTTACTCTTTACCTTAAGTTACTTAGTACGAAATTTCAGCCAGGCAGCCATTTTTCGCGCGATTGAACAAGCTGTTGCCGTGCCAGTCGTATTTCAGATAGGCACTACGGTTGAGATTCACAAAAGACTCTTCATTCTATGCCTGTAGGCCTTGCATTAAAACTGCAGCATCCCCTTGACAAATGACTATTAAATCAGTCAGTTTAGCGACTACAATCTCACAGCAATACGGGATGACACACTTGCAGGGGACTTAACGGATGTATTTCAAGGTAAAAGTAACTTATGAAAAGAAATGAAAAACGAACAAGAACATCGCTTTTTTCTACCCAACTATCTTTGACATAAGTACACTTTTAGTTCAGTTAGGAGGAAGCTTCAGTCAGCACTCCTATCGAACAAAGATCCGCCTGAGGATTAACTGCGCAAATCGCGTGCTGCATGGCAACGGAAGATCTACGGACCATGTGTTTAAGCGATGTCTCTTTGAGTATACTACTGTAGAAGACTCACATGTAGCTCCCCATTCCTGAGCTAACACGAGGGTCTTGAGTGAGAATACTTCCGTCCGCTTCTGCAATTAGGAATAAATGAAATGCAATCTCAAAAGACCGAATTTCCTACGAAGAAGACCTGGTGGCCATGAAACCTGGAATGGCGATCTACAAAAGGTAGGCCGTGGTGATGCACATAATGAATATGGAAAAACTAGCGCTGAAGAGTGTGCGCTTCCTAAGGGCTGCATCACAGAAAGGATACTGACTCCAAAAACAACGTTATTTTTTCTGTCGAGTAGTATATATTATATATGTACACATATATATGAACATTTGCCTTGACCCTCACCACAATCGAAACTTAAGCAAGGATAACGAAAAATTGCAAACTTGAAAGGCCTAACGCCTTACTTTAATAAACATTGAAGGAAATCAGCGTGAATATTACAAGAAAAATCTTGCAGACCAGCCGACCCACCTTGATCAAAAGTAAAACCATACAAACCATTCCGTGGTTTGATCACAACAAGTCGATGATTGGCCATTAACGATCCTCTTGGGTTACGTACATCCACTGCCTTTCATTGCTCCTCACTTTTTATATAAATTCCATGATGGGTATGTCCTGGTATGAATCATTGCAACACAGTCGTTCAGGCCCGTGCAAACACTACTGCTGATCGTCGAAAGAAACCTTCAAGTGAATTTTAACGATTTTTTTAACACCAGCGTGTCATACACAATAGCATTGACAACACATCCTCCGCAAAGTACCCAGAAAACGGGAAGGACCAAAACGTTCGAACAACGCGGCAGTTGATTTCCCGTATGGAGTGATTAGAATTGCTGCGAAAAATCTTTCATGGTTCACGAGGGTTAACGAGCCGTAACCGCAGTTTTCGAGTGGCCCCGGGTTCTTTCACCGAGTTTATGTTATCGGTGCCGAATAAGGGTCCTCAGAGGTCAGGTCACAGTACTTGTAGCTTTGGCCCAATACATAAGTCTTGAATTCTTGAAGTATTACACGGGTTCGAGGCTTTGATCCCAATTTTCCCGGTCCTCGAGGAAATCTTTGGTCTTCTGTCGGGTTCACCAAGCTGAAACGAGAGTAAAAGAAGCGGGGAGGGGCTGGGGCGGCAGCGAAAACGAAATACACATAACATCATGCAGTGTCTCACTGTGGACAGTGCCTTAAGCGGAGTGGGGGTGCAACATTCATGAACATATATGCAATAAAAGACATCTAATTCGCTTTTTTGACAGGGAATTATTGGGAGGGACCCAGGTAGAGTCTAGCTTTTTCTTGAAGACAGTTTTGTTCTGCGAGAGAACAATATCTTCCAGAAGTGCAATCAACAGAGTAATAGCCCTATAGCTAAAAAAGTTAATCCCTTATGGAAGTGCGTGGCCTCGGTTTGAAAACCTTTCTGCTGTGACCACGGAGAGAAGAAGCTGGACGGACGGAGAAGAGGCCATCGCTTTGACCTGATTCAAAAAGGTGGAACATCAAAAAAGGATCACCTGTTACGCGTCTTAGGTCAAGGGGATAGTGGTTGAGGAGTGAGAGGCTGACGGGATAAGGTGGGTGAGATAGACCCCTACTGCTTTGGTGGAGGCCCTCTGAACTCGCTCTAAGATCTCACGGTCCCGGACAAGACCAGAGTGCACTATCTGACTACCGTACTCCGGCAAATGTCGGATATGCGTGCCGAAAATTATGGGGAAATCATCCCTAGGTATGCGCGGGAAGGACCTTCGAATCATATTTAGGACTCGAAAGGCAGACTTTCTCGCAAGTTGGTGGTGATGAGAGAAGGACAAGTTACAATCTAGCTTGAAACCGAGCACCTTGTGTCGGCCAACCCTAGGCAGTATGACCGCTCCGTTAACGAAGAACGTGTAACCAGCCTCTCCGCAGAAGGACATGCTCACGCACTTTTCATCATTAACTGGGAGGTTCCAATCCTCGGACCAGCTTTTTGTTTCATCAACCGCAATTTACAGGTCTTCAAAGCTTGAACTCCATAGGGTTACATCGTCTGCTTTCATGGCAATGTTCGCAGGAAGGGCTGTCGGAAGATCGTTCACGTAGACCAAGAAAGGAAGAGGACCTAAGACCGACCCTTGGGGGACCCCAGTTGTTACTGGGGGGGGGGGGTTGAGACAAAGCATTCTCGACTTTAACCGAAAGGTGCGGTCGGTTAGAAAGCTGTGTAGAATGGCCAACATGGAGCCGGTGATCTCGTATGTGTGCAGCTTATAAGGAAGAGGGACGTGGAGGACCTTATCGAAGGCCTCGGTAAAATCGATGAATACAGCGTATGAGAGCTGGTCATCATCATAGGCTTTCGTTAGACTATCCATGACAGTAAGCTTATTGGTGATGCATGATCTGCCAGGAAGAAACCCATGTTGGGACGGGGAGAGGGTTTTATTTCTATGCAGATGGGAAAGAACCTCACTCTTAAGAATTCCCTCGAAAATTTTGCTGGTGATTCTAGTGAGACTTATGGGTCTGTAACCAGAAGCAATATGTCTACTTCCCTTCCTATAGAAGGTTGAGATCACTGCTTTTTTCCAGCTACTGGGAAAAACTCCATCGTCAGCACATCGCTGAAAAAGCGAGGCACAAAGAGCGGCTAATGTGTCCGCGGCTTCCTTGAGAATGATGGGGTGGATTAGAGGAAGACCCATGGAGCAACACTGGTTGAGCCGTCGGAAACTTTGAGCGACTACACCAATGGGAATAGTGACGCAGTTGAGGGTAGTGGCCAGAGATATCGGGTGCATGGTAAGGTGGGATGATATGGGCACGGAGCTAAAAATTGTACGGAAATAGGGGCTGAATGCCTCGGCTACTTGGCTAGGGGAAGTGATTGGAGAACCGGCACTGTCTTTGAAAGCTAGTGGCTTCGAAGCTGTACCCATTAGGCGGCGCATGTACTGAAAGAAAAATGCCTTATTTGTCCGCACCCGATCAAATACAGATGGTAGGACTGCATTCTGGTAGGCCCTAATATTGTCTTTACATATGTTCCGTATGATCCTGAAACCTTCTACATCACGGGCAAGGCCTGTGGCTTTATATCTAGCAAAGAGGCGTGCGCGTTCCTCTAGAATGCGCCCAATGGGGCGAGGGGGATCGCTTAGCGGTCTGTGGACAACGAATTCTGGGGACAAATAGCCTATCAGCTAAAGAGATTAGCTCTCTGAGATTCTCTGTCATTTCATCAGCAGATTTACCTGGATTAGTTGAATTTAGCTGGAAGCGAATAAATTCACAGACTTAGTCAAAATTGGTCCTTTTGAAGGATCTCAAAATTTTTGTTTCTGAGGGAAGTGGAAGCCATTCCACGATACAGTCGAATCCAATGAGAGTGTGATCACTTTTGCCGAGGGAAGGCAAGTAATGCATCGCATCTATTTGGAACCGACCATTGGTGATGACCAGGTCCAGTAGGGCAGGGGCGTGTCCTGTGCGATATCTGGTCGGATCTCTTACCTTCTGCACCCATGAGTTCTTCAGTAAGAGATCTAGGATAGTTTCACCAGAGGTGGTATCAGAGGCATCAGCCCTTTGCCAGTCTTTACTGGGTGAGTTGAAGTCACCAGTGACTAACAGATGGGTGAAGTCTGTGTAGCTTTTCAGGGAGACTAATAAGTCTATGAGACCTAGGCTATCAGTTGAACCGCACGCGGGAGGACGATAGACTACACCAAGCAGTAGGGTGTCTGTCCTAGAGAGGGTAGACACAGCCCACAAACAATCAACACATGAAAAGGTAGGGGTTGTCAGTATAGTGGAAGGAGGGAAGGAATTATCGTAGTATATGATGACCCCACCGGCTCGACCTCTACTGGATTCCTACCTTACTGCGATGTATCCCGGAATGGATAGTTCGGCATCAAGTATGTCAGGGGTGGGCCAGGTTTCTCTGAGGGCTATGATCTGAGGCTCCTTATCCAATGTGGGCTGCCGAAGCTCCGGGATCTTAATCAACACACTCAGGTAATTGCTGTAAAAACACTTGAGCACATGCTCAGGAGAGTTGCAGAATCGCCAGCGACAACTGATTTAGGGTTTTCGGAGTGGGAAAGAGGAGGATTTGGGGATGGAAAGGAGATCCTGAGGGAGTTCTCGCATCGGCCAGCCTGTAGCCACAACCATCTTCTTTCATTCTATTATAGTGATCCGCCGATCAAGTTCCGTCGATCATATGTTAAGCGGTAAATTGCTCGCACGCGGAAACCGCAAGCGTTACTTCCGACACACTCACTTGACACACGCCAGCCTACGGTCTCTGTGACCAGGCCCTGTTGGAATGCATGCTGTAGGTACTTTAAGGTCCTCTCTCGTAGACTTCCTCGACGAACGCGATCGTAGAATCTGGGGAAGTGTGCCCTCCAATAATTGGTGAGTTCGCTCCATTTATAACTTTTGAATAGTCCCACCGAAGTGGTCCAGTCAGGTCACGTCTGAGGTAGCTTTTCCTTCCTTTCGTCGACCATATATTCAATCTAACTTTATTTGATTTTTTGTCTCGTTGTCTTACCCCAATTGGGCTTTTTTTAACTGCGTACATTTTAGTTTGTTTTGATCGTCATTAATAAATCGGCTATTTTTTCACTCCCGTCGATTCCGAGATTTTGTAAATCAGTCAACAAGGTTACTTCCACAGGTATCATACTATTGCAGGACAAGATGCAGATTACCCTGAACTGCCCAGAACCCACGTCTTTCAAACAAATACGGCCTTTCGACGGGTTGGTCAACTTCCATCGTCGCCTTATCCCACAATGCGCTCAGCTAATGCAGCCGCTGGCAGACCTGTTAGGAGGCAAAATAAAGCAACCAGTTTCACAGAAACCACACGAGATGCTTGTGCTATGCTGAAGCAGGCTATCAGCAACATACCTCACTACCACGCTCGAAACCAACTTCACCAATTGCGTTAGTCACAGGGGCATCAGACCAAACCGTGGGCTCGGAGTTGCAACAAAACTAGTTCGACACTGGGCAACCCGTTGCATTCCTCTCCAAAAAACGACAAACGACTAAATCCAAGCGTAGCACCTTTGACCGCGAAATTCTCGTTACCTACCTAGGCATCAGTCACTTTAGACATATCTTGGAGGGACGGGAATTCAAGGTCTACACCGACCATAAACCGATCGTCCACTCATTGGGCGCCACCGCGAACAGACACTCTCCTACAGAGTCTAGACATCTGGATCACATCACTCAGCACACAAGTAATGTGCGTCATATCTCGGGTGTCAATAATTCTGTAGCGGACGCGCTACCTCGCATTCACAACCTGGGCCTCAGCAACCCCGGCCCGATCAACCTCAAAGCCGTTGCATCCGCTCAAGCAGACAACCCTGGGATATAACAGCTCAGTAGTGCCTCGTCGCTGCTACTCCAGTCGGATCCCACTCCCTCAGCCGAATGTTACATACTGTGCGACATGAACGAAGGTTACCCAAGGCCAGCAGTACCGTCAGCTTTTACGTGAGAGGTTTCTGAAACCTTACACCGTTTGCC